TGTTTTTGTAACATGTAATTTTGGTGTAAAAAATTAGTAGGATTATCTCAAAATCTATTTTTATATCTAATTATAAAATTTAAAACTTAAAAATGGTCAAAATCAAGTAGAGCTATAACTATATGAAAATCTTATTAATAGACGGTCTAAATAACTTGTTGCAAGATGCACTATTTCTGGGACTCAAAATCTTTTTTTTTTTTCATATTTATATATCTCGATGTCGAGATGATCAATTAGAGGGTTCTTCAATATTAAAAAAATATTCTTTGATGGATTTTTGAGGTGCATATGTAATTTTACATTTTAAGGTTGCAACATTTTATATATATATATATATATATATATATTATTATTTATTTTTTTAAATACCCTACCATACCACCAAAACCGGATCGGGCAATTCCGATTTGACCGGCGAGTTCCAAGTTGGACTAGCCGAGTTTGCCAAACACTAGATCACAGTTCCCTCTTTTTATCGTTATAAACGTGACATACAACTGCATATACTACCAAGGGTCCAAGCAATGAGTTTATACAGCGGTAGGGAGCATCCACATAAAACCACCCATTAATATATGAGGATTAAGGTATGAATCGCTATTACTACCTATCACTAAGTTTGGCAATTACATGGTCCCCACCATCAACAGTATGCTACTCATCATGCAACCAAATATGCCTCTAGGCTAGGGGTTTATATAGTCATGAGTATTACCACATACTCAACCACATACATATGATAATTAAGGTATGCACCATTACTAATGTTTACCACCTGATGTGGTAGTACCATGGCCACGCCCACCATCAACGGCATGTGCCACTCATGGCTCATTAATACCAGGTAAGGTTTGGTTAACCCACTTCAATGGTCATTGCATGTCAATAAAAATGGTTATTAGGGACCATACAAGCTTACTAACTATATGTGCATGTATCGTCTCGTGCAATGCCTATGGCTATTACACAAGCCCTTGTTTAGGGTGACACCTTTTTCAATATTTAAATCCTACTCTTGATCATTGTTGGGTGCATTGTACAAATAGATCATGCCTATTTCTATCATCCAAACCTTAGCTTAGTGGTCTTAATGGTTCCCCACATCGCACCATCTTAGCCATCTATCTATGCTATCTTATTCAAGGTCTTACACTATAGGTCTTCGCCACTAGGGCACATGAGTGTGCTCTATGCTCCAAGCCAGCCTCATATGAGGTACTTCCTCAGGTAGGTTTGTTGATTTAAAGAACTAGTTTGACAAGAGATAGCAAAATCTCTCAAAGTTGCAGATGTCCTCACATGACTTACTGATCTTTCTTTCTTCATTTCATGGTTAATGAAGTTCTATCATTGTTGCGTTTATGTGGCATTTAAAGGCCTTATAAGAGTTTATATGAGCATTTATATAGTAAAACCTAAACTTAGTGGGAGTGTGGTCCTCTTGTGGACCTTTCTAGGTAAATACGATTTGCCGATATTCGGACTAGGCTTGACGTGATAGGCCAGTTGAGTTTAGAAAAACCCAAGATATCTGGGTATAAGGACCTACCGAGAAGGGTTTAGTGGGTTAGCCCTTGATGAGGTCGAAGTATGCCCAGATGAGAGCTAATGGATTGTATGGCCATTGCATGTACATAGATAGCCGTTTTGAGATTCACCAATGAGAGCAAAACGTGTACATGTGCGATAGATTATCCCTATGCACTATAGAGTCATGGTTGCATCATGGTCTGGAGGACCATGATTTTTTTGTCTCTAGGGGAGAACCTGAAATTCACAAACTGGGATTGCGTCCCCTAGTCTATTAGCTGACTTTGGTGGTCTAATCATGAGCCCCTGTAGTGGACTGTGGGTCATGGGAACTGTTGGGTCAGTTTGCGAAAGCTAGGTGGATCGTGGTCCACCGTTGAACGTAGGGTGCTCCCGTATATTGATAAATTCTTAGATCTAACGGATCTGATTCCCGTCAAAATTAATTAGTTTTAATTAATTTTATGATATATGATTTTTAGAATGTTTATTTGAATTTTTGTGAATCTTCTGTTATTTAATTTTTGTCATTTGGATTTATAAATTAATAAAAATTAATTTTTCAATATTTTAAATAAAATATAAGATTTAAAAATTCTAATGCAAAATAAAATATTTTCTAAAATTATATAGGACCCTTCATAAATATGTGGCCTAATTTAGAACATGTGGGATTGGGTATGGCCCATATGTGGCCACCAAAGAGTGGCACGCCCCACCAAAGGACTATCTCCAAGATTTGATGATAGTTTATCCACAAGTTTGTTAGCTTATCTTTTGGGTATAGCTAACTGAGGTTGA